TATGTTTTAGCAGGAATCCACTCCCATACTATATATACATCGGTTGTCTTCCGCTGTTCGTAGCTGTTTTTTTATTTATTTTTCTAATCTATCGCAAAATGAAGCTCTATACGTATATTCAGTAGTTGACGACATTTTGTTCATCATATTATGTTGCGTGAACACTGAAAACTTGTATCTAGATGAAATTTGCCACTGAAATTGAGATGTTATTCTTTGAACGAACCTTACCTTGTAAAGCATTGCAACCGCATATCTGACAATGGCAGTGTCACAAAGCGATCATATCCAAAGCCTTATGTACAGTTTGATAGCAATATAAAATATATTCGGCAAGACTCGTTCTTATTACGACAATGTTGTTCGGAACATCTAAATTACCTATTGACCAGCGGTCAGTGTTCGTGAGTTATAGTCGCATAAATTAACTTCAAGACACGCCTTCTACTGGAATTAGCCACGGAACCCTGTTCAGACTTCAATTATTTGCTATAAAAGCGTTTACACCAAAGCCTACTTGATTTTTTATTTCACTGCCAACGTTCGGAAGAACGTGGCAGGTCAATATGTTATCGATTTAATTGAACAGATTTTTTCGTATTACACCAACAGATTAAGGATTGCATGAACAAAATATGACCATTTGATGTTCATTTTTCTATGTTGACTGACTTTCTGGATCATAAAACTATGAAGTCCTATTTTTAATCTACATAAAATATTATTTTTATTGTTTTACTAGCTAGCCCGGCAGACTTCGCAGTGCCTCAATCGATAAATAAAATACCAAACTTTTGTATAAAATAAACATAAAATAAACAAAAAGAATTCGTTCGATGGGGGGGACATCAAAGGAAAAGCAAAATTGTTATTTTTATTTAATTCCGAGCGTTTTCATATTTATCTACCTTTTAAACCTTTTCTGGACTTCCACAAATAATTCAAGACCAAAATTAGCCAAATCGGTCCAGCCGTTCTCGAGTTTTAGCGAGACTAACGAACAGCAATTCATTTTTATATATATGAACAGATATAAGAAAACGAGCTCACGCCCCTGCTGATGTTAAGTTACTGCATTCAAAAGGGCTATCATAAGAAAACTTGAGGCAAGCGGTAGAATTAAGAATTGCATTTTAAAAGGAATATCTCACCATCCTAACTGGATAAGTACATACGTTTAAGTTTCGCTGCAAAAAAAGGATAATTTGTGGCACCTACCCTTGCGACTTTATTTAATGATATTTTGGGAATATATACGACGAAAGGGAAGATCTTCCACCGAGCGGATGATATTGCTCGGTAGACCGACGGTCCGAATGTTGTTGTTCGGAACTTGTATATATGCGCTTTATCTTGAAAATGTCGTAAGCGAGATTCAGGCATCTGTCAATTATCTTGCGTTGTATGATGGCTACCCGCCACATCACTCCCCTCCGAGACTGGAGGTCGTGTCATTTTTAGTTAGCGTTGTCCGTGCTGAGATTAGCTTGCAAGGGCCAGTGCTGCTCGAAGCCTGCGGTGAGTCGAGGCTGAGCTTGAATGCTGCGTGCGTGTCGCCAGTGCTGCTCGAAGTTTGCAGTGAGTCGAAACTGAGCTGAATGCTGCGTGATTGTCGCCAGTGCTGCTCGAAGTCTGCGGTGAGTCGAGACTGAGCTTGAATGTTGCGTGCGTGTCGTGCGTAGTCCATGTGATGCAGAGCTGCCACGCCGGAGATGTGTGACCCCAAGCGTTGATGATCCGGTCGTGAGCTGCGATGAACTGTAGCGGCGTGATGAGGCAGTGAAGTTGCGTGCCGTAGGACCAGGAAGCGCGGTGAGTCGGCTGCGATGGTCCTGTTGAGGCTGCGATGCTGGCTTGCTGTGGGACGACTGTCGATGACTTGCTTTTATCTGCGAGAATGCGGGAATTGTGGTAGCTGAAGTTCTTGATGCGCTGATGATGAACCAGAAGGTTGCGTGTTCACATCACGTCGCAGGTCACCAGTTTGGGAATATATACGACGAAAGGGAAGATCTTCCACCGAGCGGATGATATTGCTCGGTAGACCGACGGTCCGAATGTTGTTGTTCGGAACTTGTATATATGCGCTTTATCTTGAAAATGTCGTAAGCGATATTCAGGCATCTGTCAATTATCTTGCGTTGTATGATGGCTACCCGCCACAATATGTTACCTAATTAAGACATTCGACAATTAAAGCATCCTTAAATGATTAATAGAATATATCGTTTATATAATTATTGTAGCTAATCCAGATTAACGTTTCGATCCTTCTAGTACTCAGCATCAAACATCATCTGTTTTCTACAGTACCTATAGAATACTTAAAAACGTGTTCAAACACACGTTTAGAGACGAGATAATCGTTTTTGAAATGCCTAGCTATACAAAGAAAGGTGGACGGTAGTTCCATAAATGAGTGCAATGCGAAGGCCTCAATCAGAAAAAAATTGTGAAATATTGTAAATAAACTTCCCTGAAATACCACATAGCGGTAACAACCACTCTATCAAGAGTGTATCGATTAATAAAAAGAAGAGTCTAGAGTACGGTTAACCTATTTGTGGAAGTATTATATCAAAAATATCCGACAATATTCTTAAATAGTATTTTCAGTTTTGGTCTTTGTTGAAAACAAATAAAATTTGATTTGAGCGGTTTTGTTAGCTATGTAGGTAATATTTTGTGCTATACTTTATTACATATTGAAGACCATTTAGAGATCTCAGTTGATTTCCACATCTTAAAAATATACGTAATGGAGAAAGTTCAATAATAAATACAAACGAAGGTTGGTGGAGCATGTTTCAGAGTTTCTTAATTAATGTTGCAAGAAGACATCACAGGAAAACTTTTTTCATCACGCTCAGGCACCGTAATGAGCACCCCCCGCGGCGTTACATCGTAAAACAACATACAACTTAATAAATAAAAGCTGGATTGTAGAAGATTTATCTTGGGGCCCATATTGCGATTCGTGACTCGAGCCTGAGTCGTGTTTTTGCTACGTAACCGCGAGTACAAGACGGCGGCGGCACTAAAAAATAGAGATATACATCATAGGTTCGGTCCGCCTCTCGCATTTACAAAAGTCTCCATATGAAATATTTTGACGTTTCTCGGTAGACACGCCACATCGGGAACGAATGAAACACGCGGGTGTTCATTCGTGGAAACAACCTTGTTATTTATCGCGTGTAATATTAAGATATCTATCATGTGAAATACAAAAATTAATACGGAATGTATTGGGTCGGTTTACTCCGATATTGTTTAATTTCGGGTAAAAAATATATATATTATGAACTACACTACATAAATTCTTCATGTCGTGCTATAAATATAAAAGTCGTTATCATCAGAATCAATTTGGCGGCGAATAAAATCTTGTTTTTCTCGCTATATGTATTTCCATAGAAATTTTGAATAAAAATTTACAATTCTTGTTTGTTTATTCAAGCCACGTTTCAGGTCGCAGGTGATGTTAGAAGATACACGACGGTCCAAGTTTTATTGTTACTCCCACTCTGCGAATTGAATTTGAAACAAGCGAGTAACGATCGATACTAGACACCTACTCGCCGTGAGGACGGGACATCCGAAGCTCATCTAAACAAGAAGTTGTATGAAAACATGTTTCTAGCTTAACGGCTTAGCTGCACCAGTACTAATGTAATAATCAGAATTATTTCAACCTCTAAGAAAAAGTATGATAAAATTCATCTATTGAAACTGTTGTATTTCTGAATATTCTTTACTAGCGGTCCGCTCCGGCTCCGCTCGGGTCAACAAAAATTTCAATGATATTTGACTTGTTTTATTTTTAAAAATAAAAGAACACTTATTGCGGCATAACTATCATAGTTAGACACATACTGTGGCGACACTTTTTGTAAATAATAATGTGTTCTACAAAGTCGTAGTACATTATTTTATTCTATCATCAATAGTTTTCGCAGGGCACGCTATGTAAAGAAGGTAATTTTTTTTACACCTTGGGTTACATTATTGGAGTTTTAGTAAGGATCCCTAATTTTTCTAAAAAAGATTATAGCCTATGTCACTCGGGAATAGTGTAGCTTCCAAACAGTGAAAGAATTTTTCAAATCGGTTCAGTGGTTTTGGAGCCCATTCAATACAAACAAACAAAAAAATATTTCCTCTTTATAATATTATATAGATATATAGATAATTATATATATTGATAAAAGTTCAAAATGTATACTGTAAAATAATGAGTTTTGATTAATAAAAATATTTCGATATTTTAAATTGTACATTGTAGAATGTACAATCGTGGAATGTTCGTCTTCTGTACCAGTTATTAGATTATCCATCCTCTGTATTAGATTATCCGAATTAACTGAAAAAATAAAACATTTTAAAAGCGTATTGAAATCTAGATTTAAAGTAAAGAGCCTAATCCCACTAATGAAATAGTTCTTTTTAAATAGTCCTAAGTTCTTTAAATCCTAACAAAAAAGTTTATTTCATCAAATTTAATTTTGTTTTAGGGTACGGCTTCAGACGTGGTTTATCCGTTGCTATTATCTTACCCATTTTATCTCCAATGTAATCTTGTTAAGAGTCCCCTCACCCCGCACCCCCACGCTCCCTCAGCACCGAGGGAAGCAATAACGTTGAAATCCCCGGTTTTCGGCGCTTAAAATAAGCTATGTATTAACGGAGAATCCTTATCAAAATTAGTTTTGTCTACAGTAATATAACGCTAGATTAATTTTGTCTTCTCTGAAGCTGTGTACACTTCAATAAATGTGATCCGATTCGATCATAACCACCAAAGTAGTCAATCAAACTATTAAAAATTGACAATTAATATTCTTGAAAAAACTTCTTGAGTAGGTTTCTGTCAAATTGCGTCCCGACTGATTCAGACTTTTTAATATCAGTTGACATTTTCAATTTTCATAATTATATATCTTTGCTATGAATCAAAATATTGTATTTTGTTAAATTTTACTCCATTTTTTAATTTAATTATGCCTCTAAATAAAATACCTTGTGTGGATAAATGCTGCGGTTGCATTAACGATTTAAAAACGGCTGCAGCTATTATTGCAGTGCTCGGAATTGTATGTGTATTCAATTTATTATTAAACGAACCTATAAGTTACATATAATATTCTTCTTGAACAAAAATCAAAGATTTTGATGTGCATTTGCAATGTCTTATCATTTATTCGTTTTTTTTCTGCAAACATAAGATCTACTATCTTAATTTGTGTATAGAAACATAAAGCGTACTTATTTTATTTGTTATAAATAAAGAGATATTAGATCAGAAAAATAAAAAATAAAGTCATAAAAAAGTAATAATAATAAATAACGAAATGACTAAAATATTTTTTTATTATCAATTATGAAATAATATTACAGGTCACAAGTCCATCGGTGTCTTGGGCGGTTGTTAGACATTCATACGTTATACGAGTGTCATGCTACGTAACGTCAAACGAAAATAGAGCCGATATTATGGATATCAACCTGAAAAATATCGTAAGTACATACATATCGGTACAAGTTATAATTCTATTAATAAATAAATATAAATATAAATATTTTATTAACAATCACGCCACGTTAACTGGTCCCGTGATAAGTTCGTAAAGAACTTGTGTTACAGGTACCAGATATCGGAAATAAATGTAAGATTTTTATTATACACATACATATATTTAATATACATCCATAACCCTGGAAAAGACATTTATATTTATCATACAAATATCTTCCCTTGGCGGGATTCGAACCCGCGACCCTCTAGTGTAGTGACCATGTCACTTACCACTACACCAGACGGACGTTATATTTGTGATTCTAACATATAATTTTGATAATAATTTTGTGATTCTCTGAAATGCTTGCAGTATCGATTTAATTCTGTGCAGTTAAAATCGAGCTTTTCTTTGTTGCGGTTAAGCTCCGTGGTACTGTTAAGTGGTTGGTCCATAGACTGCCACATTGAGATAGTTGCATTAGAATAACTGCTTTACTGCCCTCCATAAAATGTCACATTAATTATATCAATCCCTCCGCATTGACTATACTCTCTACCATCAGTACTCAAGGTAGGTATTACTGGGAGGAGTAGAAGAAGCTGGCTATGAAAATATATAAAAATATGACTAACTATGGAGACCCAATAGCGGCAGTAGCTCCAAGAATGCGTTGTTGTATTTCTTCTGTATACTTATATAGGAAATATTCATGATGACGAATAATAGATGATCCATCTTGTAAAATTCTCTTGCCTCTTTCAGATTAGTTTCGGATTCGGTGCCAATGCAGGATTAGGCCCATCCTGTCTTGGGCCACTTAATGATAACAGTACAAAAACATTTTTACGCATACGGACTGATCCCGATAAATCACCATTCATTGGAATGGTAAAGAACATAGGTTGGGTTGTCTTCGGTGTTGATGTAATATTTTTGATATGCAGTGTTTTATTTTTGAGGAAGATTTTCAAGGTAAAATAATTAAATTTAAAACAAAGCCATATAAAATGTAAACGTGTTGATATCCAACATCGCATATTGAGACTAAATTATTATAATTGTATAAATACTAAGATTAGGACCTTATTAAGTTTGTAATTACTTTAAATAATAATAATAAATCATTAATTGGGTTTCTTTTCCAGGGTGCTGATAAGAAAGCTGCTAAAACATTCATATATTCTGGTTTACTAGCTGTTTTTTTATCATTTGTTTATGGCTTGCTGTATGTTATGGCATGTTTATCAATTGGAGGAGCATTTCCTATTTTTGAATTTTTTTTTGCATTCGTAGACCTAATTGGTAAGTTTAAGACTAATTTAGTATCATTTAATATTTTGGTAACTAGCAACCATTTCACTATTTACTTTTCAGTGTTGGTCACTTGGCTGTATTTCATGATTGTAATAAATTCTTTTATGAAAAAATCTGCTACTGTGAATACTAACAGCTATAGTTTCTATGGAATGATTTATTCATTTGAGGAATACATTTTGAATTCATTCTTTAGGTAAATATTTACAAGTACTTACAATTTTTTCAGTTTGGATCTACTTTTTAATAGTGGTTAATTCCTACAGACGATTGCCTAACTGAATGATGAGTATGCATTAAGTGAACTATTATGATGAAATAGAAAGTGTATTCTCAAACGTGAGAATGAACAGTGCTGTTATCAAATCATTGCTGTCCTAAAATATGGTTAGAACTTATACTAATCCTAAATAATTCGAATCTCTCTCTTTTTAAATTCCTATGCGCACTTTGATAAATTTTGATGGAGTGTATATTTTATTATTATATTTAGTTTCCTGGCTAGTATTAATCATTCTTTTTATACTCAGCTTTTTATACTACTAGACGTACTATCTAAATAAGAAGAGTAATAGATTATGTGCTTCCTGATATCTGGGGCATGATAAGCTGTTCTAATAGGATTCCAATAAACCAAAATTAAATTTTATTTTATTTTATACTAAATGACCCGGCAGACTTCGTACTGCCTTAATCGATAAATAAAAAACCTAAACTTTTGTGTAAAATAAACTTAAAACAAACAAAAGGAATCCGTCTGACGGAGGACAAATCAAAGGAAAAACAAAATTATTTTTATTTAAATCCCAGCATTTTCATGTTTATCTACCTTTTAAACCTTTTCTGGATTTCCACAAATAATTCAAGGCCAAAATTAGCCAAATCGGTCCAGCCGTTCGTTAGCGAGACTAACGAACAGCAATTTATTTTTATAAGTATATAGATTACATTAGTTTTTAGTTTTTGATTAAAGCTATTGACTTTTTTCAGATTACAGTCTGCCACACAATTGTGTTTTTGCGAATCACTCACTGACAGCCAATATAGTGAAGATTCAGGATCAATGAAAAAAAAACTTTGGTAGAATTTAAATGAAATATTTATAATATTAAATATTTTAAACATTTCAAGTAATGTTTTATTTTTAATTATATTTTTTTAGTTCTCAGCTTCTTTTTTTAATACGCTGTTCTTTACCATCAAGAAGGCACAAAATTTACGTGGATTAAACTATAAATTTCCTAAACACAAATATAACGGTAGAAAACATGCTATTATGTTTCTGGTATTAAGGAGATACCGGAGCCGATAGACACTCGTTTATTTATTGACTGTCCCACTCTTCAAAGCCTGGCTGTTTCGCGGCAGAAATAATGGTGGTACCTACGCGGGCTTATATTACACACTACGACCAGTAACTACGCATACTTATACGTTTTATGATTTCGATTAGCATGATTTTATTTTTCCGTCCTAGAAGTGGTACGTGAATATGTATTCAAGATGTATTTCCTTAGAAAAATGAGTACAAGCCTGCGAGATTTGAGTATCGCTTCATCACTTCGCTTGATATTAATAGATCAGGTGTTATTTAGCTGATTATTTCCTAAAATCTCCCTACTTCATGGAGAAAGCGGAACATATCTTAGCATTCATTTTAATTTCCAGCAATAATTTCAGTTGAAGCTATTTTCCGTCGAAAACATTAATATAATATTGAAGGGGAATCTCTTTTCAGTGAGAAAAAGAAATAAGTTAGTTCCTTTTTAGATTGTCGGAAAACGTCTTAATAACCTTAATACTACGTATGTACATACAAATGTATGATCGATATATAATATTTAAAACAGAGCATATTAACTACTGAAATAAAAGATAATTAATGATCTATTTATTCAAATAAAGAATAAAATTAATTAAGTGGCCTTTAAAAATGATTTTTTTTAAATACACAGCAAAAAAATTTTAATATCCTTTTGCTTAAAAGGAAAAGGGTAATAAAAAAAACTAAACATTTTTGTTTCGATGGTGACGCTATCGGTCGTATGTGTATATGTATATGTTGTATCTAGTATTTTATGCATTAAAATTGGGTAAATTAATTTAAATTAAATAATTTAAATGTTCTACTAAATTTATTGATAAAAATGTTTATTTGTGCATAGTCGTTATCTTTATGAAGGTTGTATCTTTGAAAAACTTGTATTAGTAGCAATTTTCCACTCCGATCGGTTCAATATTTAAAAAACCTAAAATTATATATAGTTAGAACTGTTTCGACTCTGAAAATGAAGGAATACTGAGATGATGATACCTGAAATAGGCTGATACACCATTAAAATGTTTATGGAACTTCTTGATTATTCTGTTAGTATTATAATTTATCCTCTATGAAAGCTCTTTTGTTATATCTCCTCCAAAGAGAATATAATTGCTTCGTTTCAGATAAAGTCGTGTCACGTCAATTTTTGAATTCTATTTTAGTTGAAAAATATGTCTATTTTCGATAGTTTACCAAATGTCGACAATTTCCTTTTTTGCATCAGCTTAAAATGGGGAACAGTGCTCATAGCAATTTTGGGTATAGTAAGTGTTAAAAAACTGAAGTGTCTGTTGTAATATTCTCATAACTACTAAGCTTTATTTTAAACTAATCTAACTACTCGACTAATCTATGAGATTTGTTTTTCAGCTGAGTTGTTCCCTCGGTGTTGTTTTTCACCAACAACACCATTGCCTCGAATTAGAAAGATATGCTGATTATATAAAATACATTAAGTATGTGATAGTCATAGCTGAACTATGGCTTTTCGTTACCAGCATTATACTTTTAATCGGTATTTGCATGGTTAGTAAAAATACGAGTACATATTATTTACATTAGAATATTATCAAACGCAAGCCCTTACTTGGTTCCACATTTAAGTCTACTGAGTTATTTAAATTACTAATTCAGAATTTAAAAAAAGTTCTAGCTTCAGGAATTGAACCAATTAAACATGGGTAACAGGCTTTTTTACTTTACGCTACCGTACCAAGTCTCACATTTATTTAATTTCCAATTTAAATACAAATTTACGAAATCTTTATAACTATTTAGTCGCTTTTGCTAAAAATTTATCCAAGTTATTGTACAAAATAACATGCCCTTTCAATTTCAACATATTTAAAAAACATTTATTCAACCCACATTCCCGCGCTTCTCACGACTTTGACTTACCAGACATACCTTATTAAACATGGTATGATTAAGCAGCGCATTTAATTTTATAGCTTTGTAACGACGAATTCCCTAGCCTTCACCTACTATATCTCTTGCCAACGTAAAGTGATGAAAAATTATTATTTTTTGTTATTTCAGAAAAAGCCACAAACAGCAACATGGTTCATGTACGCGGCAGCGTTCACAGCTCTCACTGTGCTCGTGCTGACCATTGCTATTGTCACGTTGACGAAGATGAGCATGACCTGCTCCGTCCCAATTGCACAAACAGTAGTGGCTGTTGTTGGATTATTAAGTGAGTTTAAAGTACTTTTGGAGTTTAAAGTAGCATAAAATATTATTAAACAAAGAGACTATTTCTTCTGAAGAAAATCACATCATATCACGTCATTTTTGAAAATGAATAAGAACCTGATTTATTTCGGTTTCTGTCAAGTGCTAACGACTGTATTTATAAATCTTAAAAGTCTTTCCATCGAAATCACAGAGAAAAGTTTCAGTATTATATAAATTTAAATATTGATCTAATTTTAAATTGAAATTGATAAATAAGGTTTATTTACCTATAACTTTACTATACTTTACCCTATACCATAGCTTTACATAGCTTTCTTAATTACCCTTAATATCAGATAATTTTTGCAGAAACAATTTAACTGTAGGATGACTTTTTAAGAATACTATGTTATTTAAATAATCTGTACTACTACAATACCTTAGTATTATTATTATTATTAAAATGTCATAATGATTTTTTCCAGTTTGGGTGTACTTGATAATCGTTGTGAAGAGTTATCAAAATGAAATGTAACTGAAAGGTAAAAAAGCAGTACAAAATGACTCGCACTGCAAAAAATTTAAAGACAAAACTTTTTTCTCAATTAATTATCTTTCATAGCACACAAAGTTTTTAGCAATAAAAACGTTACCAATTGCTTTTTTATCTTATTTCAAAATGCCTTGAAACAGTCCTTTAGTTATAGGTATCATCATCATCATCATCAGCCTGCGGCAGTCCACTGCTGGACATAGGCCTCCCCCAAAGCTTGCCACTGAACCCGATCTTCGGTTCTACGCATCCAGTTACTGCCAGCTGCCTTGCGTAGGTCGTCGCTCCATCTAGCAGGAGGGCGTCCCACACTACGTTTGCCGGTTCGCGGTCTCCACTCCAGAACACGTCTACCCCAACGGTTATCGGTTCTGCGACATATGTGACCAGCCCACTGCCACTTCAGCTTACTAACTCTGTTAGAAGAGTTAGTTATAGGTATACTAAACCATAAATACATTGTATATATCAGAGCAGATCAGTCTGAACCTAATTTTCGTAGTTTTCAAATTTAAAGATGAAATAAATAAATATAAAGCTTATTGTTATGGAAAAAAATATAATCTCTTATAGAAATTTCAGCTCATCATTAAAGCGACATTAAAGCTTTTGGCATTTTTGTGTGAAGCTTAGCTTTTGGCTGTGTGGCCTAGAATAGCGCCACCCCATCTCTTCCCGTGGGTGTCGTAAAGTACGAGCAAAGGGTTAATCGGAAAATGGGCAGTAGTACTACGATCTGATTATGCCTGTGGCCTATCGCCATCAACAGACATTTACTCCAGCAAATACGTATCGGTTGCGGGCATAGTAAGTGTGTAGCAGTCCTTGAAATCTCTACGAGCTCCTATAATGATCGAATACCAGGTTATATGTAATCTCATCCTCGCTACCTCCTTATTATTCATAGGTACATAAGACATTTTTATCATGCATTCTTTTCGTTTACTGTGAAATCTTTGAAAACGTTTTCGACTGAAAACTTTCAAGTTTTTTAATCTTACAAAAGACTTCGGCACAAATCACGAAAAATTACCGAAATAAGAATTAAATAAAACAATAAGCTCTCCTTGATCGAACTCGGAATACATTCTTAAAGCAATGAAAGACAACTTTTACAGAATTAAATTTTATTTCAGCGGTTGAGTGTATTGCATATAAAATAATAACCCAGTAAGAATATATGTACATTAATCTCCGTTTTATGTACGTGCGGGACTCGTGTGATAAGATTGGTATTTTGGAAATGTTAATTAAAGGGTAACATAGGTTCAAAGGGAGCCGCATTCATTAAGTAAGATCCTGGCATCAGTATAAATGTCATTCGGTTCAGAAGTTTTAATTATCGCATCCGATGCAGACCCACCGCCGGGAGAGTCTCGTAAAAGTAAATATTTCAAACTTAGAGGTTTTTGTTTAAATTTGAATACGCGGTGATCAGCGCGATTTCGCCTCTTTGTCATACGATTTAAATTAGATCTTTTAGTTATAAAATTTCTCGTACATTTAATAATTAAATGTACAATGAATGCACTTCATTCTGTACAATTATGTACCAATTTATTTAAAAAGTGAAATCGTTTAAAAAAAATTTGAAAAAATTGAATGAAAGCGGTAACGCGTGAAAACCGTTAACAAAGAGATGCAAGCAAAATGATTAGGTACGGGCATGAAAAGTATGAATTTTTTTTAAAATCACAAGGCTCTATTTTCCTGTCCGATGGCTGTGATTCCTACTAATACTACTGTGCACAATAACTGTGTGTAATTTTCCAGTATACGATATATTGTTATCAATTATTAAGTCTGGGTAATATGTTTTCGTAGAATAACATTTCTGGCTTAGAGAATTTGGTTTAAACAAATATTAAAAAAATTCTTGAAACCATCAATTAGGTACTTATAATATATATGTATGTAGAAGAATCCTGGATTGCGCTGTTGACGACAAGCTCTGAGAGATATTAAGTTATTTTAGAACCTTACCAAAACCTCACTTAATGAATGCGTGCGCCAAGCCTCCGTTCGCGTACTATGGAGAACATCTGTCAAGGCTTTAATAAGCAAGGATTCCACATGACCACGACTTCTGTGCCAAGAGCAACCGACTATGATGATGATGATAGTGGTAAGACTTCTTGTGAGTCCACACGGGTAGGTACCACCACCCCGCCTATTTCTGCCGTGAAGCAGTAATACATTTCGGTTTGAAAGGTGGGGCAGCCGTTGTAACTATACTGAGACCTTAGAACTTATATCTCGTGGTGGGTGGCGCATTCACGTTGTAGATGTCAATGGGCTCCAGTAACCACCTAACACCAGGAGGGCTGTGAGCTCGTCCACACATCTGAGCAATAAAAAAATATGTATGTAGGTCCGCATAACTACTATCAATTACATATAGGCATTATGTATTCAAACAATTGAACAAAAATACTATATCAAAATTATAAACAGAGCACAAAAAACGAAACGCCCAAGGCAAATCCAAACAATACGGGAGGAACATAAAATATTTTGGAATTTTCCGAGAAAATATCTTTGTCACGTCCCGTCCCCGGCGGAACGTAAAGCTGTATAAAAGTTAAAAGATAGCATAAAGAAAGTCTCCCTCAGATAGCGTTTCTACTTCGGATGCCTCTGCTCGTTTTATTACTTGGAGCACGTGACACGAACAGCGATCCTTTTGAATTTTCTTAGAGATATATATATACGAGTGTATATGAGGTTTGTATGTATTCTTGTTACTTGCACTCCCATTGATTTGAAATGTTCGCTTGTATGAATATATATAAGAGTTAGAACAGATATTTGTATAAGGATATAAAGCGTATTCTAATTGCAATTTGTTTTTACGAGCTAAACACAATTTGCAATAGGAGAACAACTTCGGCTTATAACGATTTCGAAAAAAGGAATTTCTCTACTTTGCTTACCTTAGAAACTATAGCACGAATGCCCTCTCTCACTAGATTGAAGTTTCAGTTAATTCCGTTCAAACCGAAACGCATGACGAATACACGACAGGTGAGATGGCATCACCGACCCGGGTGGGCTCGGTTCCATCCTAATAAATTTTCCAATTTGAACAGAATACATAACGTTTTTACTTGATATTGGTATGCGAAGTGTGTTGATTAGATCACACCAGTTATGAAATCTGACATCTGAATAATTCAGCTGAAAAAAATAATTTCCGATGAACAAGCTACCTACATAATTTTACGTATAACAATGCGGGAGGAATGGGTAAAGTAGGTACAAAGGTCTGCCGTCCCTCGGGCGTTATTCATAACCGACATTAAAACACCCTCTTTGTCCTTAGGAAACATTTCCAACGTAAAGACGTACTCTGTTTATCTGCGTACTTACGTAACTATGTTGAAATGTTTGTTCTAGAAGGGTTATTTCCTGTTTGAAACTCGAGCTTAGGTTTAATTTTAAATCTACCTACTTGTTACTCTTAATTAATATAAAGTAGCCATTCGGAGCTTCGAAAATAATAAAATGAAAATTATAAAGGCGACATTTTAACGTAAAACTAGTTTGATGATGATGTATTTGACTGATGTATTTCTTCTTCAAGCTCTTTGAAGGTCCACAAAATGAAAGTTTTGCTGACTAAGATAATTTCGTGCTAGTCTTATTAGCTTACTATTGGTTGGTTACTAGCTTATTATTAGTTGTCCTGAATTGAAACAACAACGAATTTTTATTTATATTTATCATGTTGTCCCTGTTGTTAAAAAAAAGGATATTTGATTCAAGTAAATAGTATCGTAACTTATAGGAAAAATTTAGATGTGCTGTAATTTTTACCTAATATTAATTGTAAGTTGAAATAACGAACCGTCCCCCATAGAATTTGACAATTCAACTTTAAAAAAATAATGAAATTTCGCTTATTATGAACGACGCGTTCCACGCCGTCGGTAAATGCCGTCGGCTCTGATTCCCGAATAGGTAGACGCCACAGTTCATTTACTCAACAAAATATATCCACTAATAGTAAGGATACTGAAAGTACCTACAGTACTTTTCTGTTTAGGTACAACAAAAAAGTACAGATTTTGTTATGCAATAAACCATAATTTTCTATGCTGATTTTTCATAACATTTCTGGGCTCTCATCCTCCTGCTAACGGTATAGCAGTCAAGCGTTTTAATTTAGATAAATGAGGTAGCTGTTGAGACTGCCTTTGCTGTGACCAGCGACTTTGCTTGTTGTATAAGTACTATATGTCACGAGCACTACTGCTTATTAGTAATGACATCAATTAAAGAATTCAAAAAGTAGGTTGTTATTTATTTAATATGAAATCCAAACTACAGAATATCTTTTATTTGAGAAAAATGGCGCTCTATTTTATCTCTAATCTTGATACAAGTGATTTATTTATTAAATCTTGTTAGTTTATGAATATATAAATTTCATTTTCAAGGTGATCATTATGAATCCTAAATGGTCAAGTTTTGAAACTAAAATATTTTTTTATTTTTTCTTCAACCGGTTTTATATCGGCACGGCCTTAGCACAAATTCGATGAGCAGTTTCTATGCAAAGAATTAACAAGATAGCATGCTTTTTCCAACGTAAGTATTTACATAACTAACACACAAAATTTACTATCATACTACATTCAACAAATAAGTATATAAAATAAGCAAGCCTAGAACAGGTTTACTGTACTGAGCAATAACAAATATTATAAGAAACAGTTTTCCTGGTGGTAGGCAAATTGTGGCCCCGATATTATCTACCGCTATCCCATTTAATTCAGCCGCGAAGCAATCAGTTTGAAAACTGTAACAACCGTTGTAAAATCCCATTAAAACTCACAATTAGTTTTATTTTTTATTTATTCAACTTCTCCAAAGTAGCTTTCGTAGAGTTCTAAGTATCAATTCTATAATACAACAACTTCCCAACCTTCTCAAACCGGAATGCATTGCACCTTAGCAGCAGAAATTGGTAGGGTGCAGGT